GGGGAGGGCTGGGGATGCGCCTGTGCCTCTGTCGCTTGTCGCTCTGCCCCTTGTCCCTCTGGTATTTATTTACAGATCGAAAGAAACGGGAGGTGGGAGAGGGCAAATTCCCTTTCCATAGGGAGGGATATGAATATATATGAATATGTAAAAATGTAAAATTATATACGGGAGGTAGGAGAGAGTGAATTCCTCTTCCATACGGAGTGATATAAATATATATAAATACTGATATAAATATATATCAATACATACAAATATAAAATTATATACAGGAGGTGGGACAGAGTGAATACCCCTTCCATAGGGAGTGATATAAATATATATAAATATATACAAATATAAAATTATATACGGGAGGTAGGAGAGGGTGAATTCCCCTTCCACAGGGAGTGATATTTTTATATATAAATATATAAAAATATAACATTATATAAATACATGAGAAGGGGCAGATAAACAGAGGTGGCAAAGCTCTGCAGGACAATTCCAGCTCTGGTTTTGCTCATTAATTCCTCCAGCAGAACCTCTGGAACTGGGATTTATCTCCCCCCCCAGCTCCAGATGTGGCCAAAATCCCGACTCGGAGGTTTTGGATCAGCAAGGGCTGGCTTTCAAATCAGAATTTATGGATCACTGGGTCTGATTTCAGGTCCTCATTAGGAGGAGACAAATCGCTCTCCAGAGGATTCCACATTTCCCAGTCTGTGGTAATTTGAAACCCCTCAGTAACCGGGTGACCATCTCTCCCTCCTGTCCCAGTTTGCCCTGACAAGAACTCGGTGGAAAAGTGGAAACCACGATGTTACTGACAACCCCAGCCCTGGAAAAAAAAATTAATTATTTAATATTTATTCTAATTACCATTCCCACGGCCTCCAAACCAGCACAAAATATTTCTGGAAGGCCAAGGCTATTTTATTTTGAGATTCAGGACCCCAGTCCTGTGCTTGATCTTTGTGGATTTGGGAAATTCACGCATAGATCTTGATAAGGGCTTTGCATCCTCAGCCCTGGAAAAAGAAAAATTAATTATCAGTCCCATTTAATGCAGGGCCTCCAAATCTGCACAAAATATTTCCGGAAGGCCAAGGCTACTTTATTTTGTGGTGCAGGACCCCAGTCCTGAGCTTGATCTTTATGGATTTGGGAAATTCACACACAGATCTCGATAAGGGCTCTGCATCCTCCTGTATTCCCTTTCTCCTGTTGCTTTTTATGGCCCCGATGAGCCCTGGAGCTCAACCAGGTCATCTGAGTCCCCCGCTGGAGTTTCAGGGCCGAAACTGGATTTTAACGAGGGCTCAGATGGTTCCTGGACCTCAGCCTGGAGCAGCTGCTCCTCGCCGGCCCCAGGGCTCGGAATCGGCACCGGCTCGGCCATAAATCAGCTCCATCCAGGGCACCCCCGAACGGGAAGGGATCCCCAAACGTTTTGGGGAATTTTTGGATCCCAAAAAGATCCCAAAAGGGGATCGTCTTACTACCTCCCTGCTGAAAAAAAAACCAAAAAAACCCCAAACCAACAAACAAAAAACCACAAAAACACCCCAAGCAAAAAAAGCAAAATAAAAGGAAAAAAACTAAAATAACACCAAAAAAAACCCAGGAAAGTCAGAATTTCTGAGGAGCGTCCCCGCTTTCCTGCGTGCCCCCCAGAGCCGAGGTCCGGTCCCCGGGCTGGCGAAACCGGACACGGAGGGAGTGACCCCGGGCAGTGGCCGCGCTCCGGGCCCAGCACCGCCCCCGGGGCCGGGTGCCAGCGCTGCCCTTCCAGCCGCGCTGAAACCCTTCCTGCCCCGCAGGAGAGAGGCCATGGCAGCCGTGTTCCTGCCCGGCAACCTCCAGGACGAGGCCACTTGCTCCGTGTGCCTGGAGTTCTTCAAGGACCCCGTGTCCATCGAGTGCGGCCACAACTTCTGCCGGGCGTGCATCGTCAAGAGCTGGAAGGACCTGGAGATGGATTTCCCGTGCCCGCAGTGCCGCGAGGTCTTCCAGAACAAAAATTTCCGCCCCAACCGGCAGCTGGCGAACATGTCCGAAATCATCAGCCAGTTCGCGCAGCGCGGGGCCAAGGGAGCGGAGGAGGACGGGCTGTGCCCCAAGCACCGCGAGGCGCTCAAGCTCTACTGCAAGGACGACCGCAGGAGCATCTGCGTGGTGTGCGACCGGTCCCGCGAGCACCGCCCGCACGCCGTGGTGCCCGTGGATGAGGCTTCCGAGGAGTACAAGGTCCGTCCGTCCGTCCGTCCGTCTGCCCGTGCGTGCGAGCCGCGCTTGTCCCCGCGCTGTCACCCCGCGCTGCCACCCGGCTTTGCCTCCCGAAGAGCTGGGAGAGCTTCCCGTCCTCCCGAAAGACCGGGAGAGCTTCCCAGCCTCCCAAAAACTTCTGGGAGAGCTGTCCCGCCTGGGTGTGCGCACCTGGCCCGGGTTTTTGGGGTGGATTCACCTCGCCGGGTGAGGGAGCGGCGGACAGACAAACAGCCGCGACTGACAGACGAACAGCCGCCACTCTCTGGGGGCTGGAGAGCGTCCAGAGATGAGCCAAGCAGATTAAAGCCGGGCTGACCTTTGCCGAAGGGAGCAGGGCACGTCCTGCCCCTGGCACGCTCCGATCCTGTTTTTTGGGGAGGTTCTGGTGGTCCTGGGGCCGCCGCGGGGATTTCCCGGCTATCGCATCCCGAGTTTATCTCCTTTTCTGTTTTTTGGGGAGGTTCTGGAGGTTCTGGATTTCCCAGCCAGCGCATCCCGTGTTTTCCTCCCTCCCCATCCCACCCGGCACCGAGCAAACCCCGCGGGCAGGGGGACGAAAAACCGGCAAATCCTCTTTTTTTTTGTTGTTCCCAGGAGAAAATCCAGGCGCGCTTGGATTTCCTGCGGAAGGAGCGGCAGGAGCTGCTGGAGTTCAAAGTGAACGATGATAAAAAAACCCAGGAGCTGCTGGTGGGTCCTGCTTTGGGGCGGTGGGGAAGCCTGGAGGGGGGTGAATGTTCCACAAAACGGAAAATGGGAGGTTTTCCCCATTCTCCTGCCCCGCCACCATGAGCCAGAGCCTCAGCAGCCCTCGGGGATGGTGCTGGAATATCTCGGAATTCTCTGGAGTATCTCGGGAGCTCGGCTGGCCCCTGGCTCTGCTCCACCCTTCCTCTTCCTCAGCGCATCACCCCTGTGGCAGCAGAAGGGGAAAAAACCCAGCCCAATGAAAATAATTCCTCTCCCAGGCCATCAACCCCCAAGAAAGGTGATTTTTGAGAGATCCTGGCGCTGCTTCCCAAGGTTTTTGTCCGGGAATGCTGCTCCCTGTGATTCCTCGCTGTGAAAAATACCAGTCACTTGGTTTTTAATATTTTAAAAGTTTAATAGTAATAAAATGGTTATAAAATAATTAATATAATTAGAGTGATAATAATTTGGATAATTTGGATTAGGACAATATGAGACAATAAAAACAAAGAGTTATGAACAGTCAGGGTGCCTCTTTCTGGCCAAAATAAGTCCAAAAAAGGACGCACGTTAACAGAGGATTAACCCTTAAAAACAGCAGCCTGTTGAATATTCATACACCTCATTAGTGATGCATAAATTCCATTCAAACACAGAATTTTGTCTGGTCAGTGTCAGCTTCTTCCTCTTAATCCTAAACGGCATTTTCAGGGCTGAGCTAGGGAGGAAGAAGTTAATTTCTTCTGATAATGGAGCAATAAATTCTATTTCTCTGCAAGATTTCGGTGTCCTGTGGCTACTGTCGGGTGCCAGTACCTCATTCTTTTCTTAAAAAAAAAATATCCCACAGACACAATTCCTGTTTTAACTACAAAAGTTACCTTTTAACCACAAAACTCCATTTACCACACTATTAAAATGTGAATACAGCACCACTGATCAACACAACAAAACACATACAGTAAATATCTGTGTCAAAATACATGCAGTAAATATCTGTGTAGAGCCATATAATTTGCATTTTTCATAATTTCCTTCCCAAAGGAGGACTCCCAGTCTCACCAGGCTGGAGCTTCAGCTCCACCTCCAGACCCCTCTCCTGAAAACCCCTTTTTTCCTTTTTTTGCCGTATGTTACCCCAGAAAACCATCGAGGGCGAGCGGCAGAAGCTGCTCTCAGACTTCGAGCGGCTGCGGCAGTTCCTGCACGACCAGGAGCACATCCTGCTGGGGCAGCTGGAGAAGATGGAGAAGAACATCTCCCGGAGGCAGAACGAGAACATCACCGACCTCTCCAGGGAGATCACGCTGCTCAACAAGCTCATCGCCGAGCTGGAGGAGAAAATCCAGCAGCCCATGCTGGAGTTCCTCAAGGTGAGATGCCAGCTCTGGGTCACAGTTAATTCCTCATTTTTCAATGGCTTTTTGGGGGCAAAAGTCCTTTTTTTATTCTGCTTTTAACGAGTGGAAGGTGCAAGGAGGTGCCTGAGTGCCCCAAGACCTCTCTGGCTGAGGAACAGAATGTTCTCTTTGATTTTAATGATTTTTCTTCCAACATGAACTTATCTGGAACTTTACTAGCACCCCCAAGCCCTTGGTTTGTGTTTATGGATCCTATAAAGGTGGTTTGGGGGCAAAAGTCCTTTTTTTATTCTGCTTTTAACGAGTGGAAGGTGCAAGGAGGTGCCCGTGTGCCCCAAGCCCTCTCTGACCGAGGAACACCCTGGGAAATCATGTTCTCTTCAACTGTAATGATTTTTTTTTCCTCCTGTGTTTTTCCAGAGGTTTTCCAGGTTTTTTTCTTGTGTTTTTCCAGAAGTTTTCCAGGGTTTTTTCCTGTGTTTTTCCAGGGATTTTCCCCGATTTTTTCCTGTGTTTTCCCAGAGCTTTCTCCAGGGATTTTTCCAGGTATTTTTCCTGTGTTTTTCCAGGGATTTTTCCTGATTTTTTTCCCCATGTTTTCCCACAACTTTCTCCAGGGATTTTCCCAGTGATTTTTCCAGGGTTTTTTTTCCAGAGGTTTTCCCAGGGTTTTTTTCCAGGATTTTTCCAGGGAGCTGCCCCAGACCTGCACAGGGTTAAATTCCCTGCCAGGCTGCCTCCTGGGCGCTGTCAATATTTGCAGAAGTTTTCAGGGCTTGGCTGTGGGTGGGAATTCACCCCAGGAACAACAATCGGCATTTTATTAAAAAAAAAGCAGCTTGGGCAAAACAATTGGCAGTTTTTATTAAAAAGCAGCTTGGGAATAAAATCCCAATTGTTGTTTTTTTTTTATAAAAAGCAGCTCTGGACTGGCTGCAGGGTCCTTTTTTCAGCCCCTGGGAGGTGGCTCTGCCTTCGTGTGGGCTCTGGAATGTGGTTTTGAGGGCAGAACAGGCAAATAATGGCTCGGTTTGCTGTCGGTTTTCGGTGTTGCAATTTTATTTTATTGAGCGTAATTGAACCTTAAATTGCCTCCACAATCCACCCTGCCTGAGGGAAAATAACTTTATTGAGCGTATTTGAAGCTTAAATTGCCTCCACTGCATTTTGTGTACAATAAAGTGCATTTTGTGTACAATAACACACAGTTTGTATAAAATAAACTGCATTTTGAAGAGCTGCCTGGAGTCCCACATCCCTCATTCAGGCTCTCAGTGCTCAATCTCTCTTGTTTTTCCTTTCCAGGATGTGACGGGCATCATCAGCAGGTGAGGAATTCTGCTTTCCCCGCTGCCTTTGGGTTTCCAGCCCTGTCCAGAGGTCCCTGTGCCCCATCCAGGTGCCCCGGGCAGGGTGGAACTTCCCTCCCGCTCTCTTCGAGCCCTGGATCTCCTCCAGATCCCTGGAAATCTGATTTTTCACAGTGTGCTTTTCCTGCCAGTGGGTTTTTTCAAGGATTAAGTGAGACCAAGAACTCCAAATTCCCTCATTTGCTCACACACATTTCCCCCAGCACAGGCACCACCGATTTCTAAAATCGAATTGGAGCTCCTGGCGGTGGGGAGGGGATCACTCCAAAACATCCCCCCATCACTTCAAAATCCACACCCAAATCCTGATTTTTTCACCCCAAAAAGGATGAAATCCCAGGAAGGTGCTCGGCGTGGGATGGGACAGGAGCATGGGTGGAAAGTGGGGCTGGAAATGGGGGAATATTCACAATTTCCTCGTTTTTTTGCCGTTTTCCCTGGGCAGGAGCGATGAAGTGAAGTGCCAGAAGCCTGTTCCTGTCTGCACCGACATGAAGATGCATGTCTGCAACTTCTCCCTCAAAACCGTGCTCCTGGAGAAGGTCTTGAAGAAATTCCGTGGTGAGTTGAAAAAAAAATTTTAAAATATATGTATTTTTAAAATTTATGAAATAAAAATAAAAATAATATGAAATATAAAATATAAAATATAAAAAATATAATATAAAATAAATATAAAATATAAAATATAAGATGTAAAATGTAAAATATAAAATATAAAATATAAAATATAAAATATAAAATATAAAATATAAAACATCAAATATCAAGTATAAAATAAAAAAATCGAACATATAAAATAAAAAATTTAAAATAAAAAATATCCCTGGCCTTTCCTGGCACGGGGTGGGAATGCCCGGGTTGCTGCTCCAGGGCTCCTGGGCACCAAAATGGGGCAAAAAAGGGGGGAAAAATCGGAGTTTGAGCATCAGTTTTGGTGCAATAAAAAATTTAATTTCAAGATAGCCAAGCCCTGGGTTTGCAGGAAACCACTAGATGGTGCTGAGAGAGCTGGAAAGGTAAAATACACCAAAAGAGAAGCTCTAGGAGAGAAAAAACCAAATAATTGTGTCCCCATTCACGTCCCTCTCTTCTCTCCTTTTCAGAAAACCTGCAGGATGAACTGGGAAGAGGTGAAAAAGGTAAAAAAAGATGATATTTCACACATAGCACCCAGAGCAAAGACTCAAAATTGTGGTTGTATTTTGCAAAGCCAAAAGAGAGGGGGAAAAAAGGAAGGAGAAAAAAAAAAAAAAAAAAGAGGAAAAGACACTCTAGATTTCTTTTTTCTTTTTTTTTTTTCCTTAATTTCTTCTCTCTCAATGATTTCCAGATCCTGCCTGCTCAGCTCCAGAGCCCAAAGCCGATTTTTCTAACTGACGCCGGGGATCTGACAGCTCAGCCAGGTCCTCTCTGCCTGTTTGCACTTAACAAACCCACAGATTTCAGACCAAAAAAGCCACTCCGAGACACAACTTTGCCAAATTTGCTCTGCTGGGCTCCTGCTTCCACCAGGGAATTGGGATGGAGGCCTCAGAGGGGTTAAATCCCAGCAGAATTTGGTCAATTCCTGAAGTTATTTAAGAATTCAAATTAAACCCCTGCAGAATTCAGTTAATTCCTTAAGTTATTTAAGAATTCCAATTAAATCCCTGCAGAATTTAACTCATTTTTAAAGTTAATTAAGAATTTAACTCCTTTTCATGGGAGAGGTCATGAATTTGAGGGGCAAACCCCATCCCCTTGGTGGGAGGGTGGCCTGAGCAGCGTCTTCAGGAGAAAAATCTCATTGTTTTTGCTTTTAAACCTGTGGTCTCTAGCCCGGGGACCTATAATGAGGACAACCCACAGGCTGGACCTTTTCCAAGGATTCTGCTGACTAACAGCACCCGGCTGGAAATGCCTAAATTTGGCAGAAAACACGAAAAACCAAGTGAAAAGCCAAAGGCCCCTTGCTGCATGCCCAGGGGGGTGGGTGCATGTGCGGAGGTGTCACTCGCTGTGGTTGAACCTCAGACCCAAGTCCTGACAATTCCTGACAATTCCAGGAGCTGGAGATGCCCCAGGAAGGAAAACACCCTGTTAAAAGGTGTTTTAAATCAATAAAAACAAACAAACAAACAAAAAAGATTAAACCAAGAAAAGATTAAAAAAATAAAGATTTAAAAAAAAATCTTGGGCATGGATGAAATCGACTCATTCCACCCCATTTCCCCACAGGTTCGCTGGTGGGATTTGCAGTCTCTGATGCAGGAGATGCAGGAAATGCAGGAAATGCAATTTTTTGGGCCACTTTTGAGGAGGAACCTGGGGTTTAAGCTTTGAAGGAAAAATGATCCCAGCCTTTCCCAGTCCCTGTTTTGACTTTCCCCACCTCTACGAAGCGCTCTGAGGTTTTCAATCCCACTGTGTCTCTTTTGGGAATTTTTTATGCCAATTCCTGACCTAAACCTGTGAATTTTGGAGAGCACAAAGGCCTTTTATGGTGTGGCACCTGCTCCATTTTAGACTCCCCCCAAAGTGTCTCACGGATTCGTGGTGACTTTGCTGACTACAACCACAATTTGAGGTCACTTCCTCTGAGTTTGGAAAAGGGGAAACAAAAGCTGTTGGGACCAGGCTGCATTTGCATGTTTGCTTTGGGCTACTCCAGGTGAAAAGATTCCCTCAGGTCGTGGCTTCCCACAAGGATTTGGGTGCTTTTGGGGTGGTTTGGGGGTGAAAATTCTGAGATTTGTGATGCCGGGGGGTGCAGAGCTCACCTGTGTGTGGATAAACTGGAAAGCAAGATAAAAAAAATCAATATATGTGGAAAAAGCCATTCTTGATCATCTTTGCTGTTGATAACTGCGAATTATCTGCATGTGCTTTTATGGCATTGTCTCCTCTCCTGTTGGCCTTGTCACCCCATTTCTCACCAGAGACTGCATGAGATAAAGCCCCCCTTGAGGGATTTGGGGGGTGTCAGTGTGGGCTGTGTGGTTTTTGGGCTGGGTTTATTGAGCTCCAGGCTGGGATTACTGAGCTCCAGGCTGGGTTTATTGAGCTCCAGGCTGGGTTT